GAACCACGGTTGACTACGTGGGAGTCCAGCGACATAGCCATTATGCTAACTGCTGGTCCCATTGAATTCTCTTAACAGCCCCAGGAAGTAGATACTATTAATGTCTTCATCTTACAGATAAGGAAGATGTAATTACTATGTATTTAAGTAATGTGCCTGAACCATACAACTAGTAAATGCAAAACCCAAATTCAAACATAGGCATTAGGCTTTCTGGCTTGTAAGAGTTCTCGGGACCAGCAGCTGGCGTAATGGCCATGTCGCTGGGCTCCCATGAGTCGACCTCAGTTCGAGTCCCAGACTTAGTGGCTTAAACTCACGCCAGGCACGTGTGGGCGGGCGCACCCAGGATCCTGAGAGGAGAATGGAGAAGAAGGGGTTGCGATGTGGCCATCCCCACTGAGGGGTGATTTCTCGCTTTCTGTGTCTCTGTCTCTCTCTATCTTTCTGGTGAGTGCACGCGCCCTATGGCAAAAACCTCTCCAAAAAAAAAGGAAAAGAGTTCTTGAGGGCCAGATCAGATTGTTAATGTTGTATTAGTAGAAAATTGAGTATCGTTGTGAGATCTGGAATAAAGGTGTGAGATGATGACGTTCCGTTTTCGTTTTAAGGGAAAAAAATGACAAGCAATGATATGTAGGGATGCTGAGTCTAAAATAGTCAGCTCAGAGGCAGGGAGTGGGATGGGTTGTCAGGGGCCGGGAGGAGTGCAGAGAAGCTCCGCCCACATGACCTCACCGCCCCGCAAAGCTGCCACCTATTATCTTCTCCCTGGTGGTGAGGTTCAACACCTCTGATTTGTTCTTTTTGTTATTTATGTCCTTTTATTTATTTATGTACGCTCACAAAATTTCACTTGTACAAGATGACTGTGTCCTAGAGGCCTACCCACCGTCCGCCCGTGGTTAACCATCCTGAGTTTTCTTCAAGTTTGCTGAGAGGATAATTCTAATCACACACCTCCAATAAAAATAAGGAAGAAGGTGGAAGGAAACATTTGGAGGGGGTAGGCTGGTTTCTGGCATAGATGTTAGTGATCCTTATACTTATTTCCAGACCCATCAAGATGTATAAGTTAAATATGTGTAGATTTTTTGGTATGTCAAATCATACTGCAATAAAATAGGTTGTTAAGTTAATGAAGTAGATTTTAAAGTTTAAAATACATAGAAAGGAGATAAAATTATCTGTGGAGACATAAAATTAATACATGAGCGTGTTTTAAAAAGAAGCATCTAGCCTTTCTCTTCTCTGAAACTGCTTTGTATAAATCCACATCCTCTGGCAAGAAATCAGCGGTGTTGCTCTCCCTACATTCTCATGGCTTTTTTTTTTTTTTTTCTTTTTGAGAGGTTTTTGCTATAGGGCACGTGCGCTCGCCAGACAGACAGAGACAGAGAGACAGAAAGCGAGAAATCACCCCCCGAGGGGGCATGGCCATGCCGCAATCCCTTCTCCTCCATTCTCCTTTCAGGATCTTGGGCACACATGTACACGCACCCGGCGTGAGTTTTAAGCCACCGGATCCGGGACGTGAACCGCGGTCGACTACGTGGGAGTCCAGCGACATAGCCATTACACTAACTGCTGGTTCCACATTCTCATGGCTTTTATCTTCACAGCAGCTGTCAAGACTGTCATCCTTTTGGGGGAACCCTTTTCCCATCAGTTATGAAGCAATAGGGCACTTTGTCTCTCATCTGTCCAAGAAAAAATACATTCGTTAAAGGACATTTATTCTCCATTCTGTCAGGAGGATTGAAACACATCTAGGAGGATCTGAACCTTGGGCTTCACAGTCTGAGAATAAAGCTACTACTTCCTAAATAACTCTCTTAGTATGTTTCTTTAAGATGTAACCACTTTTTAAAAAGAGTTATTTAATTTTATTTATTATTATTTTTTAATTCGATGAGAGAGAGAAAATGTGAAAATGCAAGCCATCCAGTCTGGGAGTTAGCCATGTGGAAGTCCAGTGCCCAACCACCACACCACCTGCCGGCCCCGTAAAAATCTTTTTAAAAAGATCACTATTTAATTTTATTATCATCATTATTTTTCTTCAATTTGCAATAGGGCACATGTGCTCACCAGAGAGAAACAGAAAAACAGAGAGAAAGTGAAAGTGAGAAAGCAAGCCACCAGGTCTGGGACTCAAAGGGCTGTCAGCCATGTGGGGGTTCAGCGCCTTAATCACTACGCCACCTGCTGGCCCCAACAGTAAAAAATCTTTAACAACAGCTGCCAGAAGCCTTAGGGGTTGTTTTCACTTATTAGCTTTTTAGGTTTTTTTCGGAATGTCAATAAAATGTGCTTGAGCTCAGGAATGTTATATGTGCCTGGATGTTATACATACATGTATTTTGTTTTCACATTTAGAATGTTTGCAAATACAGCTGCTCTTTACTAAAGCCAAAAAAGCCTCTTCCCAAGCTTCGTGTGTACGCATGTGTGTGTATCAGGTATACACATGAATGAAATGTATATACATATTTATATAAATTTATATTTATGCATAATATATGATATTTGTTTTCAAAATTAAGCTTATGTATATGAGTTTCCATTTTTTCCTAGTGGTTTTCCATTAAAATTAGGTCTAAATTCTGCTTTTAAAAAATGCTCAAAATGAAAGCTAATTGCTTTAGCAAAATTAGACCTTGAAAATCGAAAGCACTGCAAGAAATTTTTTAAAAGTTATAGCCCGATTTATTCATTTGCTTCAACACCCGAAGTGTTTTTCTGTGTAATGATGTTTAACAGGACGTCCCCCTAGTTAGGAAACTGTCACTTCTTCACGTTTGTGTTGCTATGAACAAAAGGGAACTTCTTTGCTTTGAGAACTGCCTTTGAGCCTGAAATGTGATTGTGACGCGATCGAGCAACTGTCCAGCAGCCCTCCGCTCACTGTCCTCATGCTTTCTTGGCAGGTGAATATATCGTTATGACGGTTTACTTCCACCTCAGACGGAAGATGGGTTATTTTATGATTCAGACATACATCCCGTGCATTATGACAGTGATTCTTTCCCAAGTGTCGTTCTGGATAAATAAGGAGTCGGTTCCAGCTCGGACTGTATTTGGTAACTGCAATTCCTTTGTTGGCTGTTTGTCCACCTTGCATTTTGATCGTGATTCATGGAAAAAAAACCCTGGGATATTTCTAAGAAAATACTCTACCAGCCTATCCTGAATAAAGTGTCATATAAGCTTTCATTTTTATCCAGCCAGCACATCCTGGGGAGTTAGGGGTGGCCAATCTCTCCCTCTGGGGCCGCATGAGATCTCCCTTGCTGAGCACCAGGCAGTGAGGACGAAATGTGAGTCTGGGCATCGTTTCACTGTCAGCGATATTCGTGGACTCCTAGCATAATGCTGTGTAATTGAATTAAAATTGTATCTAGGTGTTAAAAAGAAATGCACTGGGAGCTTAAAATAAAACAAATAAAAGTCATGGCTGAATGAATATGAAAGCCTTAGAATAATTTAGCTTTTAATGAAGAAGAACAAGATGCAGATGGTTTAAATGCATTGACTTGGGAGGTATTATGTGCTTAGTTGATAAGCTCATTATTATATTCTGTCTGTATACTTTTTTTCTGAATCAACAGTTTTTTTCTTTTCTTTGTGTCTTTATCATATCTTCCTATATCCGTAGTGTTACAAACCATATGAAGTCCAGGACATAGGAGTTAAACATTTTTATAAATGTTAAAGTTTTTTTTTTTTTTTTTTATTTATCAGTAATGCTTGTAAGTAGTAAAATTAGTTGTAATTTTATTATTTAATATTTATTTTTCTTTAGTTTTTCACTGTTCATTGTGAATAGCAAAAGCCTTCAGTGGTGGAATACAAAGCAAAGTTATCAAAATTGCTTTGGAATGGAGGTATAGTCCTCAAAAGGGATGTCAAGTTCCCTGGGAGGGTCAAAGTTGTGGTGATACCCCTTGCCAGGCACTAGCGGAACGAGTGCTGGCGAGGAGCTGGGCAGAGCAGGGGTTTTTCATCCTACTGCCTTACACTTAGAAAGCTGGCGATAAGGCGTCCTAGCGCTCTCAGTGGACTTAGAAATACCAGTGGAGGGATTTTTCCCTTTACAGCCACCCTCTTTTTAACCTTTAGAAAGCGCTGGCACCCACTGTGAGAACTCACAGAGAGTCAGAGCTGGAGGCAGGACGTGCTCTCAGGAAGCAATGGACGCTTATGAAGGTGCTACATGTATCAGTAGAGTTAGGGGCTGGGGTCAGCCCACGGTGCAGTGATGAAGGCGGCTGAATCCCACATGGTCGATCACATCATTCAAGTCCTGAGATCCGCAGCTGGAGAAACACACTGGGTGTGCATGTGTGTGCCCAAACCCCAAAGGAGCGAGAGTATGACCATTCCCCACGGGGGATGCTTCGTCCTCTCCCTGTCTCTCTGTCTCTCCTCCTGGTGAGTGCTGGCAAATTAAAAAAAAATGTGTGAAAGTTTAAAGAAACAATTGTGTATTGCAATTATTAAATAAGTGTTAGCTATTAAATATAGTTGTGTAAACAAAAGAGAAAAACAAAAACTATACATCTAAGATTTGGATTTCATCAAGTTGGGATTTAAAACCCAAATGTGCCACCTATTTTCTCCAGCCATACAACTGTAATCACGTGTCTCTTCCTGGTAGCCCAGGGAGGATTTAGACATGTACAAGTACTCATGGTGAGGCATCTGAAGCCCTTGCCACCTGAGTTACTCTCTCCCCCACTTCCCTAACGTAGGGGAGATTTATTTTGTTCTCAGTTGGTTTCCTTGATTCCTAAGTATTTGAAAAGGAAATCTCTGTCTTCCTACTGTGTATTACCAGGCCCCCTGCTAAGCTCTTGCTGCCTGTCATGTCATGTAACAGGTGCGCGGATCTTGTCTTCATACGTCATGCCTGGAGGCCACCTGGCTGGGTAGCAGTACTTTGTTGAGGCTGAGCACCTCGACAGAGGTGGTTAGAGTTCCTTCTCTTTTTCACTGCAAAAAAAATGGTATTTCAAGAGCTGCTATCATTAAAAATGAAGAAAACCCCACAGATTTCTATTAGCCTTTACGAATAGAAGTAATTACTTACACACATGTTATTATATTTTTTTCTGTGACCCTAAAGCAGTTAGAGATCAGATAAATGACCCATGATAGGTGCCGAGGTGACAGTGTAGACCCTGGAGACAGACCACCTAGCACGTAGTAAATACCACTGAAGGGTTGGGATGGTATTGCGTGCTGACATAGACCTCACTTAAGATTCGCTGCTTGATACTCCGGTGTGACTGTCCTTCATATTTTGAATGCTTTCTTGATTGATGACAAGTGAGCAGCTACTGTTCGGCCTCGCTTGTCCCCAAATTATAGACATCTCTGATGACGCGGGGAGGGATAGCACTGATTACAATTGTATGCACCCAACTTTCCTATCCCATAATATTCGTAAGAAAATTAAGTAACGTGTAGCAAATGTGCTACTTCTGATGATGAAAGGAATTGCCATTTGCTGATGAAGTCATCTTCTTTGTTCCGATAACTCAGCAAGACAGGCATGGTTCATTTTTTATAGATACGTAAAGTGGCTCAGAAATTAAGAAACTTGTATAAAGGCACCTATTCATAAATGGTGGACTGAAGACAATTTCTGGCTGAGAACTTGAACATTCTGTCTTCACGGAGGGTGCAGACTTGTGGGGGTGTGGGACTCGTGGGGAATTCCAGAAGGCTGGGTGAGCCTGTATAGATACATGCTGAAGATATTTCATGGGTAGATTTTCCCATCTGAAATGTTGAAGTGTGCCCATTGGTTCTGGTTGACCAAGAAAAGCTTACCCAATAACTAAGTCTTCAAAGACCTGAGATGTTTCGGAACAATAATTGTTATTCTGTTCACTGATGCTCTAGGAAGATACTTTCCATCCTGAAGTATTTTGGGGGTATTAACAATCTCTTTCATGTAAGATGTAGATGAGAATTAATTCTGGGCTAATGTTTTCACTCCCTAACTCTCATTTCCCTCTTCACTCAAAAGAAGAGAATTTGCTGGATCAGAGATGTCACTAGAGATCATGCAAAAATCAAACCAAAAACTGCAGCATAATTATGAAAAGCAGAGTGTGCTAAATTCTTTCCAAAGACCTTCTATCTCCACAGTCGTATGCCTCTACGTTTTCTAATTATTCCAGTCTAGTAAAACATGAACCACACGTTAATGCCAGCTGGCATATCGAAATCACTGCTATTTCATTTTCCAGGAGTGGCCAGCCAAAACCCAGTCTTGTGTACAGTCTTAGCCCACTCCTCCACATCCTGTCCCGACTCCTGGGCCAGCCAATATGGTGCATACTCAGCATTCTAAATGCAGGGGCTGGCATCAGTACTTGAATATGTCAAAAAAAGAAAAAATACCCCCAGACCTGACCTTGAACAGACTTCGGGGTAGAAGCCGACCAAGCCATTGATGACGGTGCCATGACTTGCTAGGTACGGAGGGAGCGTGGAGTCGTCCCAGAGGGTCGATGGCTTGCCGCTCCTCTGGTGCTCATTTCACCAAATGCTCATCTAGAACCAGGTGTGCTAGCACAGCCTTGTTCTGCTTGTGCTTTTCCCACATTTGGACACCAGGAGCACAGACCATGTTAATGCCTGGAGACATGGCAGCTCTGAAACCCTTAGCCAATTGTTTTCTCATTTTGCTAGCAGACATCATATCTGGAAGGCAAGTCCACACTTGAGAATCGAACTTTCAGATCCTGACGGACAGTGGACGCGGGCGTACGTCCAACGCTGTCTCGGTGTTGGTGTCCACGACATCATTTCAGTCAGAATCTGTGATTTACCCCCAGGAACAACTGGAAGGCCATTTTCCAATTCATGATTCAGTGATTGCACTGGTATTCTGCTTAATCCATATTCATAAGGGAGTGTTTAGTTTTTCTTTTCTTTTTTTTTTTTTTTACAAGATAGTCATAGAAAATGAAGACCACTGCTTAGGATCCTTAAGATAAATAATTCTTTGACAGAAAACAATGTCCAAAGTAAGACTGGGAGTGTTAAGTTGCGTACATGGATTTGCTTCCTTTGTGGTTATCATTATGGTCTCTGGAATTTTCTCATCTAGACGATACAAGTGCTTCCAGCACAATTTCTTTTTCTTTTTCCTTTTTTTGAAGAGGTTTATGCTATAGGGCGCATGTACTCGCCAGAAAGAGAGAGAGAGACAGAGAGAAAGTGAGAAATCATCCCCCAGGGGAGATGACCATACCACAATCCCTTCTCCTCCATTCTCTTCTCATGATTGTGGGCACACATGTACATGTGCCCAAAGTATTTTTTTAAGCCACCAGGTCCAGAATTTGAACTGTAGTCAGCCATGTGAGTGTCCAGAGCCTTCACTATATCACCTTTTGGCCCCAACATTTTTAAAAAGAAGAGACAGGGTCTCCCTGTTGTTAGTCTCCTGCCTCACCCTCCCAGCTGGAACTACAGGCAGAGGCCAGTACACCTGGCTTTTTTGACAGCCGCCAGCCCTAGCAGACATCATATCTGGAAGGCAAGTCCACACTTGAGAATCGAACTTTCAGATCCTGACGGACAGTGGACGCGGGCGTACGTCCAACGCTGTCTCGGTGTTGGTGTCCACGACATCATTTCAGTCAGAATCTGTGATTTACCCCCAGGAACAACTGGAAGGCCATTTTCCAATTCATGATTCAGTGATTGCACTGGTATTCTGCTTAATCCATATTCATAAGGGAGTGTTTAGTTTTTCTTTTCTTTTTTTTTTTTTTTACAAGATAGTCATAGAAAATGAAGACCACTGCTTAGGATCCTTAAGATAAATAATTCTTTGACAGAAAACAATGTCCAAAGTAAGACTGGGAGTGTTAAGTTGCGTACATGGATTTGCTTCCTTTGTGGTTATCATTATGGTCTCTGGAATTTTCTCATCTAGACGATACAAGTGCTTCCAGCACAATTTCTTTTTCTTTTTCCTTTTTTGAAGAGGTTTTTGCTATAGGGCACGTGTGCTCGCCAGAAAGACAGAGAGACAGAGAGATAGAAAGCGAGAAATCATTCCCTAGGGGGGATGGTCACACTGCAATCCCTTCTCTGCCATTCTCCTCTCAGGATCTTGGGCATGCATGCACATGTGCCTGGCGTGAGTTTAAGCCACGGGGTCCAGGACTTGAACCACGGTCGACTACATGGGAGTTCAGCGACATAGCCATTACGCTGACTGCTGGTCCCCCAGCATGATTTCTATGACACACAGTTTCCATAACTAAGAAAGTTAGAAGGCATTCTTTTTTTAAAATATTTTATTTAACTTTATTTTTTTAAATTTGAGCAGAGAGGGAGAAAGGGATAGACAGAGACAGAGAGAGAGAGTGAGAAAGCAAGGCTCCAGGTCCAGGACTCGAACCGTGGTTGGCCATGTGGGAATCCAGTGCCCTTAACCATCACGCCACCTGCCGGCTCCCCCTTTTTTAAAAAATTTTATTTAACTTTATTTATTTACTTATTTTTTTAAATGGGCATTCTTGAACTCTTGTTCTGAATAAAAAGGAAAAATGTGATTAATCTTCAAAAACTGTTTAAGGCATTTTCAGGTTTCCATACAGCTCAAAGCCAGCCCAGACAGCATGGTGCCATTTTCTGGAAAGTCAAAAGGGAGGCCTACAGGTTCGAAGACCTCTTTCTGAAATAAAGTGCAATAAATTCACGATGTTGCATTTTCATATATACATCTCTATTTTCTGAATGAAATCACATTAAAATCTATAGTAGACAAATAAAAATGCTAAAAATAGCACCAAAGGTAGGAAAAGAGAATACGCTCGAATTTCCCAATGTCCTTCTCTGTATAGTTTATGGGGTATTTTTAAGGAGCAGCTCCTCGCGTGCTACACCGATGCTTCGAGTTTTTATGTTCGAAGCATTGAAGACTCGGGTGGAGGCTGGAATTTGGAGACAATGGCTTGGCAAGAACTGGATGGATAGCTTCTGTGTACTGTGCATTTCTCTGTGCATTGTGTGGAGTCCTGGGTGGGCAGGAAAGTCATCATGAATTTTTGCATTGAAATATGTCACGGCTTTCCTGACGACACAGTGTTATGCAAACCCTAAAGCAGTACTGCCCACTGCTGCCCTCGAGCAGCTGTGTCTGGTCTGGTCGCGGCAACAAGGCTGGCCCTCCTGGGATAGTCAGGGGACAGTACAAGCAGGATATAATTAAATACAGAGTTGAGAGGACAATATTATTTTTCTTAAATAAAAATATGATCATTCCTTTATTATTTCACCGGGCTTGATATTTTATCAGGTGGACATGCACTATTTGCCTCTAGCTGGAGGTTGGCGTGGACTGGAACGTGCAGTGTAGACGCCTTCTCACTGTCCTCATCGTCCTCATCATTCCCATCCCCAACCCCTGGGTGTGTCACTTCAGGAGCTACAGCCAAGGCACCAACAGAACCAGTTCAAATGGAGACTGACTCCCCGCAGGGACTTCCAAACCCAGCTAGGGAACCCGGAGTAGATAGGCAGAATGGCAGGAAGGGACGGCGGTCACTTCTCAAGGAAGGCATCGCTGTATAGTTCTACTTTTCTGCTCAGAGTGGAGACGCCTTTATTTCCAAGCTGAGGAGAAAGTTTTCCTGGAGCTGGTACCTCAGAAGCCTCTGATGGGCGAGAAGGACCCCCGTTCTTGTTGTAGATGTTTCCCTGCCAGTTGTGAACTGTGTATGTCCGATATATTTCAAGTCAAATTGCTCTAGAAAGCTATTTGTCCCGGAATATATTGGGTCATCAGAAGAGTAATGATGCATTTTGCCATAGAAAAACATGCCATAACTTTTCCAATGGCCCAATATTTTCAGGATTTTATATAAATTATACTCCTTTGTGAGAAGTAGATTATTATTTGAATCCAATAGGTAATAGCTAAAGGCCAGGAAAATCTATCCATGCACAATGTGTGCTTTTCCTAATGATCGTTCTCAGTTGCCGTGGACCATGCTCATTCCTGAAATTCCAGTGCTAAAGTCTGGTCGCCAGCGTTTGCAGCGTTTCACTCCTATTTGAGAATCACCACTTCCGGAAGTTGATCCTGTTAGGCATGTGTTTTGAGTTCCTCTGGTGTATTGGCTTGGTTTCCAGTATTGTCCCATTAGATGCCAGCTGCCTTACATACTTCCGACTTTCTAAAGGTTTTTGTCATAAGGCACATGCGCTTGCTGGAGAGAGACAGAGAGAGACAAGGAGAGGGAAAGTGAGAAATCACCTCCCAGCTGGGATGGCCACACTGCAATCCCTTCTCCATTTTCCTCCTGGGATTTTTGGGCACAAAAGCGCATGTAGCCGGCATGATTTTCAGGCTGTCATGTCTGGTACTCGCCCATGTAGCCAGCATGATTTTCAGGCTGTCATGTCTGGTACTCGAACTGTGGGATTCCAACGCTGCAGCCACCAGGCTCCCTGCTGGTCGCATACTTACAATCTTTATAGCAAACCCAACAGGTAGGTATCAAGCCAAGCCTGATGAGTTTTACAAACTCAGTCTAGGTGACATGGAACCAATGATCGCAAGAGCCAGAACTTGTACCCTGTCTGCCATTCACCCCAAAGCCAGTGCCGATTCCACTGAAGTGCTAGGATTCTGATCCTTCATCAAAGATAGCTTTGAGTTCTTAACTTAGCTCACCTCAGCCCACCGACCCTCTCGGGTGTGTGCCCATCTGTGTGTTTCACAGACAAGTAAAGTGTGCTCTGTCTCTTTGCTCTCTTGCCTCGAAGGAATAACCACAGTTCTCACCATGACCACGCTGAGCATCAGTGCCCGGCACTCTCTGCCCAAAGTGTCCTACGCCACGGCCATGGATTGGTTCATAGCGGTCTGCTTTGCTTTTGTATTTTCGGCCCTTATTGAGTTCGCTGCTGTCAACTACTTCACCAATATTCAGATGGAAAAAGCTAAAAGGAAGACATCGAAGCCCCTTCAGGAAGGTCCAGCCGCTCCAGTCCAGAGAGAAAAGCTTCCGGAAGCACCTCTGCAGGTATTTGGCTTAATCTGCTGTGGTTTAAGATTGCAGCTTCTCTGTCAGATTTGCATTGCCAAGGGAAAAACTGAGAGTGGGAAAATCCCAGGGACTATGCCTGTGTCATTTAAACAGCCAGAAAAATACAGACAGGTATTTATGAATGAAGACTTTAAAACAGTGATTAAAAATCAAACCAGTCCAAACAAACCAGATAGAGGTGAAGCTAGCTGTTCGAAGTTCCTTTGGGAATGACATGTTCTTGCAGAAGGTTGAAATCTTACATAGAGTGTTAAGAATGACCCATGGACATTTTGGAGGGAATCGGAGAGGCATTTTGATAGAGTTCATTGAACAAAACACGCAGTGGATCTTTTATTTATTTATCTATTTATTCATTTCTCCCAGCATGGATACATTGTCTATTGGTCTAAAGTTATTACTACACACATTATCACCCACAGGTAACTTTCCATTTTTGTACCCCTTAAACATCATGCTTTCCCTCCCTCCCCACCCCATTGCCTACCCCTTCCCACCCTGTCTCCAGTATCTACAGTTGTCCTCTCTGCCTTTATATCGTCCAGTCTCCCAGTTTCTGCCAGAGTACAGATACTCGGTGTACAGTGAGTGGGGACATACGAGGCCTCTGTTTCACACTCTGGCTTGCTTCGCTCAGCATCGAGTCTTTCATATTCGTCCACTTTGTATTAAATTTCAGGGACTCATTGATTTTTATGGCTGACGAGCATCCCATAATATATATATTTCACACTTTCTCAGTCCATTCATCTGCTCTTGGATATTTGAGTTGCTGCAACGTCTTAGCAGCTGTGAATAATGCCTCAATCAACATGGATGTGCAAGTGTTTTTCTCAGCAGATCTTAACATGGGTCTCACGTTGGAGTTAGCCCGTGTGACTGAGGTAACTCTTCTTTGGAAACAAGATAAAACCCATAATAAGTGAGCCATAATTGATATACATACAGGATCGGGAATTCTTGCCTTACAGGGATAGATCTAAGAGAAGACAGCCTAATAAAACCTACTGTAATTTCCATTGGGCGCACTGAAGAGCCTGTGATTAAAAAGAAAGATTTGAAGTGTCTCTTTCTTTATGGACTAATATAAAAATAGCAAGATCTTCATGAAAACAGGAAAGCAAGCAGGCAACCTCTTTCTCTATTTCCACCTCCTCCTCCACTACTCTAATCTCTCTCTCTGTGTGTCTCTTCTTACTGTACTCGGATTCTTCCTTGAATAAGCCTGAGGTCCCTGACACACAGCCTACTGAAGCTGGTAGTGTATAGCTCCTTTTGTTTGCATGTACCTAAATCGAAGTCAACACAAATCACCTTGATTCTTACAGAAGACAGATCAGTCCCTTATTCTCTCATTCAACCAACATGTATGAGAGTCTTCAACAGATTCGTAGACATTGCATTGTAGTTTAAAAGCTATACTTGGATTAATTTTTTTCCTGTATCAAAATAAACTTGTACTTTGATTCTATTTCCCCATGAATTTTTGAAGTACCCTGGTATTAAATGCCAGATATGGTCCAGACCTTGTTAGGACTCAATAGCACATCGAAAAATCCCAACAGATATCTTGCTATACGGAGTCTGGATTTACTTGGGGTGAGGAAGTGGAGGCAGGCAATGTTTAAAAACATAAACAATGAAACAGGTGGTGCAGTAGATGGAGGTAATGCTGTGGAAGTTGGAAGGCTCTGAAGGAGGCCATGCGTGCTGGAGCAGGGTGAGAGGATGAGACTCAGTCTCAAAAGGTGACACCTGAGCAGATTAGGCTAGCTGTCACCTCGGCAGGGATTAACCATCAGCTGTACCCCGTAGGGCTCTGGGTGTTGTGTCTAAGAATGGTGTATGAATAGGTGAGAAGGGGAAGGCCTTTCCACTAAGTAAATTTAGATAGTTTATATCTTTCTCTGAATGGATCCATTTCAAGATTTTCAAAATTATCAAGATGCATTTTGCATACTGTTTTCAGTTAAAATACTGAGCATGAGGACCAGAAGGTGGCATGGATACTAAGGCATTGGACTCCCTCGTGGCCAGCTTTGTGGTTCAAGTGCCAGACCTGACGGCTGGAGAATCATGCCAGGTGCATGTGTGTGCATGCTCAAAGTCCCGAGAGGAGAGTGGGGCATAAGGGATTAAGGCGCGGCCACTCCCTGGGAGATGATCTCTCACTTTCTCTCCCTCTCTTCTCTTTCTCTCTTTGGCAAGTGAACATGCCCTACTGCAAGAACTGGAAAAGAGAAAAAAGGAGAAAGAAAAAGAAAAATACTCTGTGGAGTTTCGTTTTCTTTCTCATTCCTCTTGGGTAAACTTATATCCTCTCTGCATTTTATTGTTTTATTTTTTTTCTTTTGTTATGTCAAACCCTAAGTAGAATTCTACTTATGACTCTTTTTTTTTTGTTACTTTTGCAGCTTCCTGTAAGTAGAAAATTATTATTATTATTTTTTTATTTATTTACATTCATTCACTTTACATCATTACAACATGCAAAATGAAATTTTCCATCCAGATTACACTGTATATTGGTTCAATCAAGCACATCAGCATACATGTTATCATCAACAAATAATTTTCCATTTCTTATTTCCTAATGTTTTTCTTTTTTTGATTCCCTATCTCTTACCCTCTGCCATCTCCCACTCTCCTCCCACATTGTCTCTGGTATCTAT